GACAGCTCAGATAGTGAAGGGAGCAACAAATAAAGGGTGTTGGTAGGATACTCTTAGAATGGGAGATGCATGCTAAAAGTAGACTACAGACTGAACAAGATTGCCACTCAATACCTCTTTTGCAAACCATAGCACCCAAATGGAGACACAGAACAAAAGGGAATGCCCTGCCACAGAGGCATGGTGGGTTGGGGTGGATGGGGAGTGGGAGGGATACTGGGATCAATGATGGTGGAAAATGGGCACTGGTGGAGGGAGGGTACTTGTTCTTTGTATAACTGAAACTCAATCACAAAAAATTGTAAATCTACAACTGTACCTCATGGTGTTGAACTCATAAAAATTTTTAAAAATGTAATAAGTAGATTCAGACCCTGCTATGATTAGGAATGATTAATCTTGCCTGAGCACTGTAGTCTGAGTCTATGGCGAGATGTTTCCAGGAGAGCCATCCTACAAGCTCATTCTATCTCTTACTGTATCCATACAAAATAACTAATATTAAGAAGTAGAATTAAGATGTTAATTAAGATCTTAATTATGTTATTGGACTGAGGAAAGGAGAAAAACCTCTTTAGTGGTATTTTGCCCATGAGCTAAGGAAGGGCTTTCTTGTGTTGATTCTGCTACTGGACTGGGTGTAGCGTCTACCCCCAATCCTGGGGAGTGGAGGAAAGACGAGAGAGTTGGAGAGAGATGAGAGAGAGCGGGGCAGCAAGATGGTGCACAGAGAAGCAAGGGGTTCAGAGGGAAAAGAATGTAGGGGAAGAATTCAGGAGCAGGCACACCGAGAGGTGAGAGATGCGGTTGAAAGATGCATGGGAAAGATGAGCGAGAGAGACAGGAGGAGACGGGAATAAGGGGCAATGTGAGACTAGAATGGGAAGCTTAGGGAGAATGGAGGAGACACATAGGGAGAATGGAATAAACGGCAACCAATCATCAGCCAGCTTCACCCTCTTTTCCTCCTCTGTCCGCCCTTGACATGAGCCGCCTCTGGTGGGGGAGCAGCCGAGACCACTGAATACAGGCTGTGAGAGGGAGAGCCACCAGGGCTTTCACTAGCAACATGGAGATTATAAATATAGCTATATTACAGGGTTCAGATTCAAAATGGATTTAGACAGTGGATTCAAATAAGTTAAGTGAAATGTGACATCAATGCATGTGAAATCTCACTTCTACATCTCAAAAGTACAACTAACATCACTACTAACTATAATAAAAGTATCTTTATAAAAGTATCTTTATAAATGTATGTGCTTCATTTGTTTCAATTCAATCAATATTTCAGTAAAACTTTTATTTATTATTAACATATTAGAAATGGAGAAATCAAAACTTAGAGAGAGACACCTTCAATATCATAGATAAGAAATTACTGAAGTGACAGTCAAACCCAGCTTATGAACTTCCAAGCCTAATGTCTGCATATTATTGTTTCTCACAAGAACACAATAAATAAACTCAATATGGTAAAATCTTAGATAACTATCTCTGAGACTGAATTCACTGCTATCTTTATAAATTTTTATTTAGTGAAACACCATGAGGTACAGTTGTAGACTTACAGATTTTTGAGATTGGGCTTCAGTTGTACAATTATCAAGTACCCATCCCTTCACCAGTGCCCATTTTCCACCACCACGGGTCCTAGTATCCCTCCCAGCCCCCATCTCCCCCAGCCCACCCTGCCTCTGTGGCAGGGCATTCCCTTTTGATCTCTCTATCCTTTAGGGTGTTATGATTTGCAAAAGAGGCATTGAGTGGCAATCATGTTTGGTCTATAGTCTACTTTCAGCATGCTTTTCCCATCCTGGGAGGATCTTCCCAACACCCTTTATTTGGTGCTCCCTTCTCTATTTGAGCTGCCTTTGCCCCTAGCATGTGTGGCTGCCCTCCAAGCCATGGAGCAAAATTCCTGGTACTAATCTCGGCCACTCTTGGGTGTTAGTCTCCTATTGTGTTACTTTATGCTCCCCAGGTGAATGCAGTCTTTCTATGTCTATCCCTCCCTTTCTGACTCATCTCGCTTAACATGATACTTTCCATGTAGTACCACTTGTATGTAAATTTCTGACTTCATCTTTTCTAACAGCTACATAGTACTCCATTGTGTAAATGTACCAAAGTTTCTTTAACCAGTCATCTCTTCTCGGGCACTCAGGTTTTTTCCAGATTCTGGCTATTGTAAAGAGTACTGCAATGAACAAACAAATACAGATGTCACGTCGACTATACTTTTTTGCCTCTCTGGAATATATTCCCAGGAGTGGAATTGCTGGGTCAAATGGGAGCTCAATTTCTAATTTTTTGAGAAACGTCCATACTGTTTTCCAAAAGGGCTGAACCAGTCGGCATTCCCACCAGCAGTGGAGGAGGGTCCCTTTCTCACCACATCCTTGCCAACATCAGTTGCCTTTGTTCTTTTGGATCTGGACCAGTCTCTGTGGTGTGAGATGGTATCTCATTGTGGTTTTGATCTGCATCTCCCTGATGATTAATGATGTAGAGCATTTTCTCATGTGCCTTTTAGCCATTCAGATTTCTTCTTTGAGAAATTTTCTGTTCATTTTGTCTCCCCATTTTTTGATGGTTTGGATGTTTTCTTCTAGTGGAGCTCAACCAACACCTTGTATATCCTTGATATCAACCCTTTGTCAGATGTGTATTTGGCGAATATCCTTTCCCATTTTGTAGACTGTCTTTGTATTTTAGTCACTGTTTCTTTTGAGGTGCAGAAGCTTCCTAATTTAAGATAGTCCCATTTGTCTATCTCTGTTTTCACTTTCTTGGCCAGTGGCGTGAATTCACTGCTATCTTAATATAAAACATTGGGGCCACAGAAATGCAATTCTAGGAACCATAGAGTTTTTCTTATCTATTTATAATATTCCACTGAATGTATATATTACATTTAGCGTAAGCATTCATCCAACAATGAGCATTTGCATTGCTCATACCTCTTGACTATTGTGAATAGTGCTGCTATAGTCTTAGGCAAGCATCTATTTCTTTGAAATGCTGCTTTCCCTTCTTTGTATGTATGTACAGATGTGGGATTACAGGATCATATTTACTTCTTAAGGTAAAAAGTTTTTTTTAATTGTATCTTTTCATTTTAGGCAATGTGAATTACAATGCTGTTAATGATAGAGTTCCATTTTCTGCATACAATGTTCTACTACCACACACACCCTAAACTACCACACCCAGGGACTATTCCCCTCCATGATAAGCACTATTCTATAAACCAGTTCTTAGGCTCTGTTGCTTTTGACTACTTGTTATTCCATTAGTATGTTTCTTTATATTCCACACATAAGAGATGTCTTCTGTATCTATTTCTCTCTGACTTACTTCACTCAGTATGATACTATCTAGAAAATCTCATATTATTTCCATAGTGGTTACACCATATTGAGATACTAGCAATAATATACAAATATTTTCTTATATGCTCAGAAATACTCATTATTTTTAAATTTTTAAAATAGTAGCCAGACAATTGTCATTGTTTCTTTAAAAATGAAGTTAAGACAAGGGATGTGACCCAGACTTGTATATGTAAGGTTCAGGTTTTAATCCCTGGCACCAACAACAAAGTATGCTCACTAACCTCAATAAATTTAAACTAGAGATTAGCAACAATGATGTGCAAAAACTTCTAAATCTCTGGAAATTAAAAATATCCATATCAATATCTCATGAGTTTCAGAAATAGTTTTAATTTTATGAAATTAACAATCCATGGTTTACTATCATTTACATATAATAACCTACTGGCAAATATGTTCCTAGTTTTAATGTTGAAAATCTAATCTTGGGGTTGAAGAGATGTACAATAGGTAAGGCACTTTCCTTGCACACTGCCAACATGGGTTCTAACCTTTTTATAATATTCCACTGAATGCGGTTCAATCTCCCGCATCCCACATGGTCCCCTGAGCATGCCAGGAGTGATCCCTGAGCGCAGTAACAGAAGTAAGGCCTGAGCATAGTCGGTATGGCCTCAAAACAAACAAGAACAGAAATCTAATCTTATACATAAGAACATATAGTAAAATTTGTGTTATGATTAGTTGTTTCCTGTGCTTTACACTTTGCTAAATATTTTTTGCAGGGAGGGGCTCACACCCAGCCCTACCCAATGTACTATCATTAAAGCGCCCCCAAAGGAGAATTTTTAGGGTAAGCTTAAAATGTTTTGAAATTAATGAAAAATCCAGATATCAATGTTTATAAAATGTAGTTAATATAGCACCAAAAAGGAAAATTTTACCATACATTAGAAGGGAAGTAAGGACCAAAATTAGGAATTCACATTTCAATTTATAGCACAAGAAAAGTTGGGGCAGGAGAGATAGTACAGCAGGTATCCACATGTAGCACACCAGGGTTTGATATCTGGCACCCCAATGGTCCCCCGAGCCAGCCAGGAGTGATTTCCAAGTGCAGAGCCAGGAGTAAGCCCTGAGCACAGACTGATGCGGCTCAAAAACAATTAATAAATAAACACTAGAGGAAATATCAAATTAGGGTCTGGGGAGACAGTAGAGCAGGTTGGTTGCTTGCCTTGCACTCAGTTGGCCCAGGTTCAATCCTCAATAGTACATATGGTCCAAAGCACTGCCAGGAGTGATTGCTGAGCAAAAACCCGGGAATAAGCCATGAGCATAGCATAAGGTGAGGTACAATACCAAAAGGAAGAGAAAATGAAGCAAATTATAAACAAAATAGGCAGAATAAAGGAAAAAACTAAAATTGGAAATCAGTTAATTTGTTTGACTCTAAAGCTTTTATGTTTTTAATCAAATTAAAATCTAGTCCTTTGAAAAATATTTAAAAAGTGATAAAACTATAATCAGATTGAAAAAAGAGCATAAACAAAATACAAATAATAGTAATATAAGGATAATTATTATTGATCTCCACAAATATCAGAAATGCAACGAGGGAATTATACAATTAACTATGTCATAAATTAAAAGGCATAGATAATGCCCCATCTCACTTTCTCAATTGGATTTATGTCTTTATTGATCATTAAAGTGGGGCAAAGGAAGTGTCCTTTTAAAACTCAGGCAAACTGGGAATTTGTCTTACATCTTGTCGGAGGAAACAGTATGGAAAAAGTAGACAAAATAGACCAATTACTTTTTAAAAATTTATTAAACCTCACAGAAGATAAAGAAAATAACCCAAATAGTCACAAATCTAATTTTAGAAATTGATTTCTTTGTTTTAAAAAGTCCTAGAAAAACTCTAAAACCAGCTGATTTTTTAAAATTTTTAATTTTATTTTTTATTTCTAAAAACTTGTTCACAATGTTTTGTTACATTCAGTATTCCAACACCAATCCCACCATCCCAAATGGATTTATTGATGAGTTCTATAAAATATTTAAGAAATACCTATTTCACCTCCAAAAACACTGTCCTCCCATTGTTTATCGATTTGCTCAAGCGGGTCCAGTAACGTCTCCATTGTGAGACTTCTTGTTACTGTGTTTGGCATATTGAATATTCTCAGTAGCTTGCCAGGCTCTCTGAGAGGGGCAGAGAAATCGAACCTGGCTCGGCCAGGCTGGCTGCGTGCAAGGCAAACGCCCTACCACTGTGCTATCACTCCAGCTTTCACCTCCAAAAAATAGAAGGAAAATCTTGAAAATAAAATCTTGAATAAAATCTTCATTTTATATGAAGTTATTATTATCCGGACACCAAAATCAGACAAAAAAATTACAAAAAAAGAAATTTGTAGACAAATATCACTCATGAGTAGAGATCTAACATATTCAGTGAAATACTAAAAAGAAGCAATGCAATTTATATTATACTCATAAGAAAAAGATGATTCTATCAATAGATAAAAGGCACATAACAACACACAATATCTATTCCTGATAAAAAATTTAAGCAGTGGGGTGGAGACAGGCACTTGCCTTCCATGGTGATGAGTCCAGTCTGATCCCTGGTACCACATATAGTTCCCAAGCACCATCGGGAGAACTCCTAAGCACCTTTGGGTGTAACCACAAATCCAAAATAAATAAAAATTTAAAAAATAAAAATATTTTGTGAAATAGAAATAGAATTTATTACTGTCTGATAGAGTATTTTGTATGAACTAAATCTAACTCTGACAATATATTTTTGATAAAAGATATATTGGTTTTCCTCTAAAATCAAAGATAAAACAAGATATATACCACATATATTCTATATTATTAATTCACTAGCAATAAATGTTCATATTAGGAAAAAAGAATGAAAAATTAAAAATTCATAGCATTCAACTTAATAATAACTAGGGAAAGAATAAATTAAGCTCAAAATAAGCAAAGTAAAATAAATTTTAGAAACACAAATAATATGCTTTTAAATTGTAAAAAGTTAAGAAAGTTAAAAAGTTGATTCAGCCTGGAGAAATGGGGCAATAAAAACAACTCAATGCCCAATAACTGAACACTTTGTTGATATAAATCAATTTTTTTAAATATACAAAATTAAAAAACTCACTCAAGAAGAAATATATGACCTGAATAGGTCTATATCTACTAAATAAATTGAACTTACAGTTACAAACTTCCAAACTATAAACGTCTTTAGGTTGACATGATTTCACTGGAGAATTTTAACAAATATTTAAAGAATTAAAGGATAATAAAACCCCAAAATTTAAAGTAATCAATTTGATAATTTTTGACACATATGACTACTCTGCCAGATAAAGGCAGAGAATTGGGATTTTTAAATATTTAAGAACACTATTTTATATGAAGAAATGAATTGGGTAGACTAAGTGTATCACACATATCATGCAATATGTTCCACTAAGTAAAAGTCACAAAATAAACACAGTTCCCTTTTCTTTCACTTATAACCCCAGTCGATTCTGCACGTAGAGCAAGCGATTTGCCCTACGTGTGCCACTCACGGCAGATAGCACAGCAGTAGGGCGTTTGCCTTACAAGCGGCCAACATGGCCAACCCAAGCTCAATTCCTCCACCCCTCTTGAAGAGCCTGGCAAGCTACCGAGAGTATCGCACCCGCACGGCAGAGCCTGGCAAGCTACCCGTGACGTATTCGATATGCCAAACACAGTAACAACAAGTCTCATGATGGAGACGTTACTGGGCCCGCTCGAGCAAATCGATGAACAGCGGGAGGACCGTGACCGTGATAACCCCAGTAACTTCCCTTTACAACAGCAGCAGCAGCAACAACAACAACAATGCACACACACCACTTTTCTTTTCTTTTGGGACTATACCCTGTGATGCTCAGAAATTACTCCTATCGGTGCTCAGAGGACCATACAGGGTGCTGGGAATCAGAGCTGGGTAAGTCATGTGCAAGGTAAAACACACTATACACTCTACTATCTCTCCAGCCTATATACCACTTTTAGAGCATCTATTTTGTAATCAAATCTTAAATAAGGTCCTTGCAATAAAAGAACTAACAATTTGGTTGTGGATTTAAAACTTGTACTGTCACATGAAGCCCAAAGGAGTAGACTTTGAGGATTTGAAAACTGGGTTGGATTTTTACAGGCAACACAACTTCCTCAAGATAACACATCTCAGGATAGAATTATTATATCGGTCTTAGCAAATTACACTGCTTCTGCCTGAATTTCTACCAAGTTGTATAGTTTTGTGCCTTGAAAATCTCTTTAAAATACATCTTTTTCTGAGCCAGAGAGATAGTACAATTCCATCCTGCAGTTCCTTCCTGGTTCTTCGTGAGGTCCCTGATAACCGCCATAAATGACCCATGAGTATAGAAGAAGTAAGCCTTGAACACTTCCAGGTGTGTCTCAAACACACTCCTGACTGAAAACTCATCTCTTTCAGGACTAATATGCTTACATTTATTTGGATATATTAATCAAGAACTTAAAATAATTAGATATTGTATATATAAACAGTACTCAATGAAATAAACCTCCATTATCAAATAACTTTATTAGTCAAAGGAGAGATTACATAATAAACAAATAAATTAAAGATAAAGTGGTAACAAATGATACAATGAAAATTAAATCAAGACATGTCAACAGAGATGATGAACAGGAGAGTTCTCTGTGTCCTCTAAAGGTGATGGGGGGAGGATTTTTGTGATTTGAGGAAAGACATAAAACAAATGAGGAAGATAACAAAATGGTGCATATCTGGAGAGAGGACACATTCCATACAGAGGAACTAGAGAGTAAATGTCCCAACTTATGGCTGGTCTGTTGGACTGGTATAAGATTAAGGTATGGAGAGAGAAAATGCAAATCTTTGTGTAAGCTGTTAAATACTGTTGAGGTAAGAAACCAGTTGGAGCAGAAGAGAAATATGATTTGACTAATTAGTTTCAAAAGGACCATTGTGGTTGCTGTGTGGAGATTAGAATAAAATGGGGGGGATTAAGAGTAGAAGAAAAGAGATCAGTTAGGAGGATACTAGACTAATCTAGCTCAGAGATGATAGTAATTTATAATAAGGTGGTAGCAGTAGAAAGGATGAAAAGTGGACTGTAGAAACGTAAAATGTTGAGTTGATAAAAATATTAAAGGATTTAGCTATGGGCTGTGGGAGAAAAGAAATGGTGTATAATTGCTAGAGAAATATCCCTCCTTTTATTGGGTCGGGGAGGTGGGATCCAGTGCATAGGCTGAGCTCTAGATAAAAGCATGTATAGTTTCTCTATTACAACAGAAAGAAGATATAAGAAACAAGCATGGGCACAAGGAGATGAGCAGATGTGGGAATAGAAATTTGTATAAATTCACAGCAGATTATACTTTTCCTTTTTCATTTAATGGAAAAACATGAAGCTGAGTGTGAAAAAGACAGGGGAGATAGACAATAAAGGAGTAGAGAGGGACCAGTAAGTATTTACCCACTTTGACTAAAATCAAAGCAGCTATAGTTACTTCACCAAATCCTCAGCACTTCTGTATGAATTTCATTGAACTGAGCTGCGTTCATTGTTTACTCAGTATATGTACATCTTTTCTCTGTTATTGCTCTAGTTCCTTCATTTTAAATACTCACCCTATTGGGCACTCTATAAGTATTTCAACTTACTCCAAAAAATAATAGATACAAACTGTCCATTGATTTATAAAGAGAAACCTCTATATATACAGGGTTTGACTATGATTTATATATGGACCCCACTGACTCAAGGCCTTCTCAAGTTGGGACGTACATCCTCCTGCGTCCCAAAGACTTGGCAGCCACACTCACGTCCTATCACTGCTGCCATGTAAATGCATCCTCAAGTCTTGTTCCAGAGACTCATAAATAAATATCAAGAGAGCAACTAGCTGCAAAATTTTCTTGGATACACATTGGCTGAGACCTCTGGGGCCAGCTGCTCCTATGCTAACAAAGCCCCAGCAGCCTCTCCCACCCCCAAAGACATCCATATCTCCACCTGAATTGCCCAGTTAAATATTCTAGATTTTCTGAAGTGAAAAATCTCCAAACTCTACAATACTGAGACCCCAGTAGCACACCAGATTCGATAGTATGTAATGCAGAAGCCAACAAATATCAACTAACAAAAACATTAACACTGATAAAATCTCAGGGCTGGGGCAAATGGAGATTTAACTGACACCCACTCAAGTAAATCCATGAACAAAGGGATAACAGTGATACAGTGATAATTTTCTTCAAGGATATTTAGTCTCCAAGATTATATAGTAAGAAAAAGTTAGAGCTATAATTTTAAATCAAGTCTGTTTCACAATAATCTATTGTTTACAATATATACTAATTTGATGTTTTTATGATTTCTTTAGGGCTGGAGTGATAGCACAGCAGGTAGGGCATTTGCCTTGCACGTAGCCAACATGGCCGACCTGAGTTTGATTCCTCTGCCCCTCTCGGAGAGCCCGGCAAGCTACTGAGAGTATCTCACCCGCACAGCAAAGCCTGGCAAGCTACTCGTGATGTATTCGATATGCAAAACACATTAACAAGTCTCACGATTGTTACGTTACTGGGCCCGCTTGAGCAAATCGATGAACAATGGGAGGACCGTGACCGTGATGGTTTCTTTACATGTATACCAAAGTTAATTTAATAGATCTTCTCTTCAGCTGTTTTTAATAAACAGGCTC